ACCAGTTTCAGGTACTATTTTGACATAGTAGTATAGTAATTGCCTCATCCACATGGTAAACGAAATTATTTGAATTTGCCTTTGTTTTTGTGAATCTGCTACGGATTGTGTGTCCGAACAGCAATTTTGAATATTTCACTTATATCCAACTTGGGCGGGTTGGCTGTCCTTCATTTTTCACTGCCTAAACCACTGTGCATGCTGTTTTTGGCGAGTGCATTGACTTGGGATGTGTGGGGGTTGAACAAACCGGCCATCGGATGCCTGCTTCTACGTAGTCCCCCTGAGTGATGTCTAATATGCAATCATTTTGACAATTCCTTTTGCAACAAGCACTGACTGATGGTCATATGGTGATGTTCGATAATTTCTCCCGATTGAACACGGAGTGTTGTTTCATGTTTATTTCACTTCAACCTGTTCTAGTATAGCTAATTCAACCATCTGAAGTGAATTCCCAGACAGATATTGATCTACTTTGCGTAAATTTCTGATGTTTTGTTGCTTTTCCTTGATGAACAAAGTTCATGTTTCACATTTTAATGACGATTGAGTTTATATAAAGAATAAACGTTTTAGAATTCGAATCAGAACTTCTGCGACTCCAAAGGGTCCATCTGCTCGACAATGTGAAGCTGGTGAAGTACCTTGTTGATGTTGATCTTTGTTAGGACCCATATGCTATATCCAACTCATGTTGCGCCATCTGGACTTTCTCATTTGTGAGACAATGGATAATCTACACAACGGAAAAATTCATATTAAGCCTGAGGTTTCTTAATCATTGAACTAAATTAGGATAGTTTCCGCTCTCTCGATCTGACTCCAGTCCCCTTCTGATTCATTTTAATTTATTCTTTCGCCCACATCAGCGGTTTTTCGGAGACCACTTTTAAAACTGTAACTTATGAAAACGTTCTGTATTGATTTTTCTTAGGACAAAACACAAGCCCAACAGGAGCATTCCTAAGGCGCTTGTGGTATAGTCCAATCATGCATATTATATGTCACACACTATCACAGATTTCATAGTGTATCTGTAAACTTACCTTCAGTCCGAGTTGCAAGTCAGTTGTCATTCTGCTATGTATGTGAGTTGTAAGTCAATGTAATGTTGGAAAAATTATTGAAATGAAAAGGATAGAAAAGTTGAGTTGAACTGATTTTCATAATAAGAAAAAGCTAGCATCTTCAAAATACAACAGCACTCTAAGAGCGATGCTTGTGCGAAAGTAGCGATTCACACTGGATTTCAATCGCGGGATTTTAAATCTATTTAAAAAAACATTCTCAGGAAGTTCATTCCACGTAAACATAGTTCTCCAAATGAAAGAGTTCTTGAACAGTTCGAAGTGTACTGAGTTGAACCTCAAAACGATGAACAGCCATAGTACGTTGCGTATTTCTAATATATACCGCCCTTGGTGAAATCAAATACGCCCATTCTCTTGAACACTTTGCGTGAGAGCATCTTATAAAAGAGAGACAAATCTCCAACCTTTCTTCGGTGTTCCTGACTACAAGGTTGCATGTGATGTTCTCGTCTCCTATCAGGCAGATGGCTCTTTTCTGAATATGGTATGTTTAGGGGAGGAACTCCATACATGCGAACAATACTCCAAAGATGGTCTGATCTGCACTTCATAAAGTATCAAAAGTTGCTGAGGTGTGTACAGTTTTCTGGTTGTAAACAGTGTTTCAAGCTTTTGAGAAGCAGCCTTTGCAATTCCAGCGACATATGATTGTGCCAAGACATATTGGTGTCCATTTTAACCCTCAACAAACTTATCGAAGCAGAAAGCGAAATTTTCTGTCCTGACACTATTATACCCAGTACAGAAACATTCATTTTTTGAAGAAAACCGATGCCTGCGTTTTTGTGCCAATGAATTGAACCTGGTTACCTTTGTCCCAATTCGAAATGACTTCTAGATCCTCATTAACATATGCAACCTACTGCTGCCGGTGAAGATGTGCATCCACAGCTAATGTGCTAGATTCCGGTTGGAATAACGAGATAAGTGTGATGTCATCAGTGAAGCAAACTATTCGTCTCTTCATTTTTTCGTCGTTGTTGATCTACAATAAAAAGAGGGTGGAAAACAATATGGATCCCAGGGGAACGCCAGCGTTGATGTTGAGAGTATTCGGGTATTTGGGGAAAGTTAGTGGTAGTGTTTGCTCACTTAGTGAAAACATATTAACCCTTTCACAGCCTTGCAAAGTATGTTGAAAGTTTGTTAGAAATGAAAAAATCAAACCTTTCAAATCCATTTTATCAACTGATATTTTACATATTGTTATTTTAATCACATTAAAAAACTTCAACTGAAAAGCATTCCAACTTCTTTTATTACTAGATCTATCAGTTGAAGGACGGTAGCCAGGTGGATTGATGTGGGTGATCAGCTGTAGGTACTCAGTCAGTCAACCGTAGTGCGAACCGGTGGTTCGAACTGCAAGGCCGTGGACGATCGATTTTCACTTCCTATCGTCCAACGCTTGTTAGGAATCACACGTTAAATGGTAAGACCTTGTTAATCCTTAGCTCGCACACGTTTCACACTTTTGAAAGTTGTCGTTTGTAGGGGGGCGATAGCTGATTAACAAAAAAATCGATTTAAACATATTTAACAGAACTTACCATCGAATATTTTTATGATTTGTCGTTTAGTTTTTCGTTATTATGATGTTATTGAAATCTTACTATATTTGGCTGAAGGTATGTATTGTAGTTTCTGTCATTAAAAGTTGCGATAGTTCGAAGAAATTTTTCCTACTTTTTGCCATATTATGATTTGTGAATGATTATATCAAAATTGAAATTCTAGGTATATCTTTTTCGAGAACGTCAGAACTATATTATAACACTAGAAATTATGGTAGGGAGCCTATTTGTCACACAAATTCAACGAATGCATTCCATATGCTATTTTATCGACGACTAGAATACGTTTTAACAAATAAATCATTCAGGCTGATGATATTCCTATTCAAACGATGAAATCTGTTCTGTTGAAAAATATCTGTTTTTTCGTTAACCGGCTGTCGGCCCCTTACGAACGACAACTCTCAGAAGTTGAATCACGAATCAACGAGGTCTTACCTTTTAATGTGCGATTCCTAGCACGCATGTATGTTTTATTGTCAATTGAACTGATTTATGAATGGACAACGTCATTGAATGTCATTTGTAAATCGCATTTCAAGATATGAATTTGTGCATCGGAATCCTCAGAACTGAATAGCAGGCCTAGTTAATCAAACACCATCAAGTTCAATGTATTATTATTATTTTCATAATCTATTAATAGATTCATCAGTACCGAAAAAACTAAGCAAATAAAGAAATTCGTAACATTCAGTGAAGAAATGAAAAATTAATTATGAAACACGCATGTATGTCTAGCGATATTATATATCAAACTGAACAACATGCTAACAATTGAATGTTTTCTATATAAATGTATGTATTGTTTATAATATTAGAGACAGGACAGTAAAATTTCAAAAGGGTTGAATTCAAAGAGCGACATAAAACAACATCTATTCAAGTAATTCATTCTCATCAATGTATCAAAAATCTAAACAATTCATCATTCACTTACTAGAAGTCTGAAGTTTTTTACAAATTAATTTCTTACATTTTAAAATGTTTCTGGCTTAATTCCCTCGCGAACACCCCATTTTCTATCCACGAGTTCTGAAAAATACTGCAGTTCGTACAGTTTAGATGCTCAAAAGATCTAGAACCGCCATATCAGGTGATTTAGCGAGGCATTTTAAAAAACATAGTCTGCCTATCTCATAGTTTGGATAATTGTTAAACCAAAATGAGTTTTTAACTGTGTTACGTTTCAGCACGATGAGGTACTTCCGCATGACTGGTTGTAAAGTACCTGGAGGAAAAGCATCCAAACCGAGGGATAGTCAGACATGATTCCTCAGAATGGCCCACAAGGTGACCTGATATAACACCCTTTGATTTTTGTGGGGTGCACGTTTCGCTTGTCAGTATCCACAATCGTCTTCGGTTGATGACTGGACTATTTCTTCGAAAGATGACTATCTATAGGTCATTCTCGTTCGAATGATTTCACCTATCTCCTCTTCCCTCTCGCTGTTTCACCAGTTCAGTGGGAGTTGGCCATTTTTCCGCTTGATTGAAGGTTTCCATATTTTGGCTGAATGCGTCGTTGGAGACATGTATGCAACTTCTTTGAGCTTTCTTCTTAGCCAGTGTTTCTCCCTGTGGATCATCTCAGCATGGTACCACTTGGTGTTATGTTGATGAGTCCAAACATGCTCTGCTATTCCTGATTTGCTGTTTCAGATGTTATGATACTTCCTATCCTTTCTAAAAATCCTCTGATGTAGGGAAGTACAAATACTGGTTGTGGCGGCTTCTCTTCCTTGTGAAGTTCTTGCTGTCTTCTAGCTAAGGCCTATTCTACCATCACTCTGGAGTAACCATTCCGTTGTAGTTTTTGATGATGCCTAGTTCCTTCTCGAGACCTTCCTTCGTATTACAGAGCCTGTAATCACGATCCACTAGAGTCTTAATGATTCCTCTCTTAGTCGATTGATTGTGGTTGGATTCCTGGTTCAGATACTGTCCCGTGTGAGTGGGTTTTTGGTATACAGATGTTTCTCACTCTAGTTCACATCAACGGCGTAAAACTTTCCATCACCTTCACAATGGAGAAGGAAATTTACAACGAATTGCCATTCTCAGACGTATTGATTTTTAGTTCATTGTTCCATTTTTAATTTTTCGCCTATTTCAATTTCATTGTATTTATTGTTCAATATAACTGTCATCGTCAACCACCTTCAAACAAGAATTATGAAGCTTTGATCATCTAAAGCCAACACATACACCAAAATCTAACACGGATCCCAAAATTTCAACTAACTCTGTCGGACTGTTAGTATAAAAAGTGATGAAGTAGTAGAATACTGTTGTTTTTTTCCTGGTGTTGTTATGATGATGCCAATGAAGACAGATGTTTTCATTTGTATTTTTTTCAGCGGAGTATTGAACTTGAGTAGTTGTAATGTGACTGGATTGAAGGCCTTTGATCTGAAAGTCAATTTTATTGTTTTTGGCATGCTACCTACCGACCTCAATTTCTACTTGAAAAGCTTTGAAATAGATACTGATTATGTTATGAACATGCCCTTATTTAATATGAAATGGTTGGCGTTATTCGGACTAGGAAATTTCCAGTAAGTGTGTCCTTCAGTTCAAAATTTTAGTACTGAACAGCCAGTAAGCCACTTTATTTATGTATCAATTTCATTTTTCAGTTTATCTTTATCTGATTTGAGTATGAACGCTTCAGTTTCCATCGATCTACAAAATCCACTCAACAAACTGAAGATAAACTTAGGTGGTGCGCAGGTAAGTGTATATTCTCAAAAAAACAAGAAAGAACTAAAAAATTGGTTCAGAAATTATAATTGAACTCTATTTCATCAAATTATTTATCAGCATACTTTCTAAAAAATAAAACCTCCTGTAGAATCAACTCAATTAAAAATACTTAATTTCAATCCCATCATGTCCTTATGTGTTAGTTTTTCAATTCATTGTGCTAATTTATTTTCATCAGTTTATATCTATGCATTGTATTGTATTCAATTCATTATAGTTAACAGTTCATAGCTATTCATTATATAGAATACTCTCACATACATAATTTTTAGTTTAGTTATAATTTAGAATTTGGCAATATCACGCACAAAGAACATTTTTTCGAAAATGTTGCTTCTGTGATGCCTACGTTTATTTACCGAATCTCTATTATACACATGTGATCAATATGGTGAATAAACATTTTTATTATTATTATTATTATAAATTGAGCTGGGTGGTTATAACACAACGCACTACTGTAGGGACTCAATCACAAAAATGTTTCGCTAATGTATGTATGTGTGCCATTTAGTCTTGTCCTGAGATTATTTTTTTGAAAATATGTACCACCAAATATAAATGTAATTGTGATTTCAGTTGGGCATTACGGGGTTCCTAGACGATCCAGATTACAATAATGAACTTTCTGAAGAACTTTCAGAAAGCATTCCACTGATAGTCAACAGTGAGGGATTTTCTTCTCTAGTTGAGAAGACTTTAAATGGTATTGTTGCAAGCATATTCAAAAAGAAAAATGATACTACGGTGTCCGTTCCAGAGGTGAGTTAGTTTCAGAATTTTATTATTCAATGATAATAATTTAATTCCCACACTATTTCAATTCCAGAAAATTCTCACTTCAATTTTATTTTCAAGGGTTCATTTTCAGAGAGCATTTGAGCCTTCCTGGTTCAACTCCCGGTTCTTAGAATGTTTTTTTGAAGGTGCTTGACAATATTTCGTGGTGCAATTCATCATTTTGGACTTCCATTGTCTACTATGACATAAATTGATTCGAAACCCCTGAAAGAATCTATAAAAATTGAAAAGATTAGCTGAAAAATAACAATGCATTAAGCAAAAAAACTGAAATTGCAATGAAATAAAATACAAGCAATAATCAAAATTGAACTATCAACAAGAAATTAAAATCAAAAATTATTATTATTATGAAAACTGAAAATTAAAAGATTCCAAGCCAAGTTACTTCATAGATTCTTTGGGGGATTTTTAATCAATTTATATCATATTAGACAACGGAAGTCCGAACTAAGAAAATGCTCTCGGTTCAAGACAGTTTAGGATCATTTCGCAGTCGAAACCAGAACAGAGAATTCATCAATACGAACTTATCCTCAATAAACCAGAACGCTCTATATCAACTGCACATGATCCTGACGTCCTAGAACCTGAATTTCGTAGAACCAAAACAAACCTATTAGGATGCGGCAAATGTCTGGCGAAAACAACTACTTCGTTTGAATTGAAGGGGTTATATTTTTTTTAGGAGTGATTAATTTTTGGGAAAGAAAGTTTTTGGCTTTCTACTACTCCATCTTGATACAAAAAAAGGATGAGGGAATCTTCCAAAGAAAGGAAGAAAGTAATCAATTTGAAAATAAGTAACTCTATACATGGATGTGTAGATCATGCAAAGAAGTAACTTTCAGACACAAACTGAAAGAAAATCCTCCTGAAACAGCTACTTTCATATAAACATTGAATTACACGAAAGAAAAAAAATCTTTCGAAACAAATACTTCTATATGAACACTGAATTATACAGAAGATACTTTTCTCTACTCAGTTTGTATTTCAAACATTCGTTGTGGAATGAAAATCAGATATCATTCACATGAGTGAATGGTAACAAATCGCACTTACATGGAACACTGTCATCCTCACTGGTATACATCGATGTTTCGTCTTAAGACACTTGCCACAAGGCTCTTCAGTACCAAATTGGATAACATTATAGAACTTCGTTTCTCATACATCGACGGACATTGGAGTTTATCCCATAGACAAAAACCACGATTTCCGTGGGGTCTTGCTGCTGAATGAACGAAAGGCATCTTCAATAATTTTCTTTGCGTATAAACTTGCACAAATAATATCTACCAAATACCCATTATGTAACTTGATGAGTGGCTACACGTCAAGGCAAAGTTAAGAACAATCCTCCTTGGTTTCAGTAGAATTTCATTTGAAAAATTACCCAATCATTTGAAAAAGTACTCAAAAATACTCTAATCAAGTTAACATATACATGATTCAAATGTTGTTCAAATGACAAATTTAAGTCAAACCAAATACCAATATATCATGAAAGAGACTTTAAGTTCGAGTTTCAGTCTGCCATGAAAGAGTTTGGAATCGATTTTCTCATGTGAAAATTCAATGATACGGATTGTCTTGTTGAGTATGAGTGAATTTCCTTAAGGGTTTCACCAATTGATTTCAGTATAGTGTCATCAGAAAATATTGTCATTTCTTCTCACCAATGAATTTGTGTTAAATCAATAATGTGAAGCTGAAACAACACTGAACCTTAATCAAATCCCTGAGGAACACCTAGAGAAACATAATGACTGTGTTGGGAACGAGATTGTTTGGGATTTTATTACATTAATAATGATTCTCCAGTAATAGTTTTCTTCAATATCTTCCATGTACAGACATCGATCAGTTATACTTTTATTATATGTATTGATCGTCATGATTTCTCAACATTATTAAAATTTCAATTCGCAGATTGACAGTGCTGCTGAGAGAGGACTATTTGTCGTCGACATACTGAATGCCTTAAGAATATGGGTAGAAGATTCATTTGAATATGCAAACACACAGGAAACATAGAAAACAATTTCCCTCTTTGATTGTTATTAATAATACTGGGTAACTATAGAGAAATGTTTCAATCAAAATCAAATAAATAATTACTCAAGTTTTGAATGTCCATAAACATCATTATTGAGTCCTGACCCTCTTACCTATTTCAAGCTATTTTTTAAATCATGTAATATGAATTAACTTCAACACATAACATATATAACATAAATAATGTTGTGGGAGTCAAAAACCTATAAAGTTTTTCTACAAACACTTTAGTTACTCTCTTTCATAAATTACAAAATGAAACCATAGGAATATAACTATCATTAGTCAGTAGGTAGTCATTACCATATAAATTAGGATACAAAGAACTAACACAGTAATCAGGCCCTCATTAAATGGCACCACTAATTACCATCAAATACCAAATATAATGGTATATAAGAATCAAACTTAGGTGTAAGATATAGCCTTTTTCAGTGCTTATGTTCTGGTGTGAAAAAAATGTTTTTCTCAGATTCAATATGGTTTGTCAAAGTTCATATACACAAGGACTTGCGAATTAAATAAATTAAACGTGCCTGGTAAATTAAATCACCTTGTTAAATTTTAGGATCATCCAGAACAATAAACAGAATATGTCGACACAAAAGGATCTGTTTACAAAATCTGTTTAAAATTTTCCATCAGTCAGCTGTCGCCCCCATACGAACGATAAATCTCAGAAGTTGAGAAACTTCGAGCTCTAAAAACCTGCACAAAGTATGTGCTCTGTTGTTCCATCATTTTCCAAACAGAGACGACACGGTCTTCCAACAGTCCGAGTCTTTGCATATGATGATTCAAATGACAGTGACCTGTAAGAAGACCTGTTAGACATCGTTGTTCATCCCTACTGTAGTCCAACAACTGTTTGATATCAAACTTCGAAAGGTGAATAATAGCCTTGGAGTGAGTCAAAGCCTGAAAGATTGTGCCAGGAGTCCATAAATCTTCTTGCCATCCAGGTGTTCAATCTTTGTTGCGATGCCGATGACAGCTTCTGTTCCGATGAAGCTACTTGCAAAACCCTCCTTTACAAGGGAGTCAGCAGCATCATTGCCTTCCAGGCCAGGAATGCAGACCAGTGACCAATTTGTTGAGTCTTCCTATCGAGGGAGTCGTTTATGACAATTTACCACCAATTCAGACGTTATCAGTAAAAGCCAAGAGCTTTCAACGCCGCTTGTCTGTACCGGGTATCAGGTATATCAAATCATTTATGATGAAAAAAGCAACATAGATATAAATTACTCAGATTTAAATGTAATCAGTTAGTTTTGAAAATGGTGTAATAGCCGAAACCGGTCAACAATAAAGAAATATAGTGGAAAATAGACAAAAGTGTGTTTTTGTAGTGTATCCTCAGTGAACATAAATTTTCGCTTGAAATACAGTCGCATAAGTTCCTAGGCAAGTTGATATCTCTGTTCTGGATCTGCGACTGAAAACACCTGCACAAGAATCGGAAGGTGTTTTTGATCCATCTGTGAACCAACAACTATCCGATCCTAATATTTTTTTTCCCCGATGATCCAGTCCTCTCTACTCGGAAACAGTACTTCATAACGAAATTCGTAGTTGATAGTTGTAGGCGTGAAATCAGAGGATATTTTCAGAATGCTGTGACTTTCAGTGTCAACTAACAGTCTGTTGCACTCTGCATTAAATTGATTTGTGCAATTGGCATGTGCACAAGTCTATATGCAGTCCGTCTACCCTCTCTCTCCAGAAAAATGTATAGAGGAGGTAAATCTAGAAGGATCTCCATGGCCAGACAAGCCTGTGTCCGTAAGCTAGAGAGTTTCGCCTGGGCCGTTTTCTGTAAAGTATTCGGCCACCAGGCAATTGCACCATAAGTTATCGTTGGTCTGACAATCATCACAGAAATCCAATGGATCCGTTTAGGACCTGAACCCCAAGATTCACCACAAATTCCTTCGACATTTCCAAAGGGACAGTCTGGCTTTGTGTAAAACTTTTTCCAAGTGAGCGTTCCAGGTGAGTTTATCATCAAGGACAATGCCAAGATATTTCACCTCCGTTTCAAATGGAACAACCTCACCATTGAGGGAACGTGGCATTCGTTCGTACAATTTTCTCCTGCTGGTGAAGGGGATCATCACTGTTTTTGGGGTTGACAGACATCTGCTCCCTCAGACACCAACTGTGAACAACGTTCATCGTTCTTCGAAGGATATTACAGGCTACTCTTCCCGACATGGGCCTTGCCAAGATGACAAGGTCATCTGCATAAGCTTGCAGATATCTTTTTTTTCTGTCGATGGCATCAAGCAGACTATCCATCAGGAGCGACCACAGAAGGGAAGATAGTAGCCCACCTGGTGATCCTGAACCTAATGGCGTCGCCTTGAAGAGTCGTAGTTGCAGTTCTGTTTACCAGCATGGCATAGATCTAGCCAGTTATGGTCGATTCTATACCTTTACTAGCTAGAGATGATCCTATAGATTTAGCAACCGCAATCTTCTTGTTATCAAGGGATTGGGAAGTTAACAATAATAATATTATGAAACAGTTCATGAAACAAATCGGTGTTTCGTTGTTATCGACAAATCTGGTGCTGATATTTCAGATGTCTCAAGTTATTTCTGAGACATTTTTTGCCACTTACGTCGCAGTGCTCAAAATGAGCATTGCTAAAATTTTCAATACTCTTCATATTTGGTATGTGATGGAATCAGCCGATCATATTTGGGAAGAGATCTTTGCCGCGAACTTACAGTGTAGAAACCACCAACCATAGAAACTTTTGAGTGTCAATATTTTTGGAGCTCCCATTTCCACTCTGGCATCCATAATGAAACTCTATACCACAGTGAAACTAGAAAAGACCACATTAGAAAGATCTGCTATTTATTTAGATTTTGGAATGAAAAATACTAATGCGAAAGGATTCATGGTATCCGCAGAAAGTCAGTTTTTCAGATGAATTATTTTGCAGATTAGAAGTTTAGCGGAGGGTCTGACAGATAGATTAGGAGGATCATTAATTTTCCAGTTAGGTCTTCGACATATTCACTAACAGAAATCAACTATAGTGAATTGATTAGACAAGTATACCAGAAAACTTGTACTGTATCAAAACCCGAATGAAGATAGTAACACTGGAACTTGCATTTACTTTAGTTTATTCCACTCATACAAAAAAGTTTTCCAAATTCATGAATTTCATAATATGCACCGTAATTACCGTGATCAGCAAATATTTTTATCAGCATTTTATGGTTACACCCATCTTCAACAATTACAATCCTATTTTTATAATGAATCGATATGAAAAATTGATCAATCAATGTGAAGCCCTGGGTACCAAACCTTTTTTCTTATCGGTAAAAGATAGGAAACAATATAAAAATGGGAGATTGATGAAGAATATCCATTGATCCTAAAACAAAACGTGATAGACATATTTCTGATATCCAAAATGCATAAATATATTTTTTATGTGGGCTAATATCAACACTACATTCTTGTAAGTCTGAATCATTTTCTTTCTTTTCCCGCTTCAACTAATAAATACGTTTTTAAGCACAATCATCAGTGGAGGACCAAGTAAAAGAGCTGATTGAGAAAATTCAGAATGCTATACCAGAACCTATCAATGTCTCGGAAATGAATATTTCAGTTCCGGAGAATGAATATATTTCGTAAGTAAATAGTGAATATATCAATCAATCAATCAAAAATTTATTGAATCAGTTTTCATTTACAATCACACTAGGCAAACATCATCATAAAATACTGGCTGATACAACAGGTTAAACTAAAACAAATACAAAGCATAACTTAAATAAAAATAAAATTACTAAGCTACCATCAAATTATGATTATGACTCAAGGAGAAACTCATCCACAGAGTAGTATGCTTTCTGCAATAGAAAAACCTTAAGCTTCCTTTTAAAGACATTGATGTTTGAGGACTTAATGTCATTACTAAGCTTATTATATAGTTCAATCCCACAGCACATGGGGTGATTCTTAGATACTGTCAATCTACTATAAGGCTGATAAAGTTGAAGGTTATTTCTGGTGAAATGTCAATGGATAGATAAAATAATAGTCATTAATACTTTGAAATTTTACCAATTGGTAGGCGTTTTATTCGTGAGCTTCATATCGGTTGAGAGTTCAAAAATCGATAGTACAATAAAATAAGTATAAGAAAAATTTATGTTAAACAGTTTTATTGAAAAAAAAAGATAATAATGATGTAGAAAATGAACTGAAAACTAAAAAATAATTCGGAAGATTTTAGGTAGCAGTCATCACACCACTCTCCTCAGCATTCTACGGTATTGGTCAGACAACAAAATAAAATTGTTTGACGTAGCGTAACCTGAGTAAATATGTAAATACTACGCCCGACGACTTTATTATTTTTTTATCTGAACAATACCGTAGACTGCTGAGGACAGTCGTGTGATGACTGCTACCTAGGACCTTCCGGATTATTTTTGTTTCCGTGGTTTTTGTTGGCTCTTTTGATCTCAAATTTAATCTTCATTCTACTAGGAATCTCACATTTATTTGCTAATTACCTGTATAGATGGAAAAAATTCCCAACAAGTTGTTTTTTTACAGTTCGAGTTTTTTTCAGTATTGTCTCCAGATTTCCTGTTTAGTTTTGTCTTCATGAATATCAACGATATTTGTGATCTGTATGTCTTCCACTACCAATATTTCAATGTTCATACTGTCTTCAGCACCAAATGTATCCAGGAGAATATTTTGATTATCGATCTACAGAACTTTCTCTTCGGTATTAAAAAAAATCGCTGTGCTCTATAACGTCGAGACCAAGTATGTTCTCATTCATAGTTTCGCCAACGATAAAATGTTTTCTCAATTTTAAGTTTGATTTGTCCTATACACGTGTCCAGCACCAAGTTAAGAATATATTTTTTTATTACATCTACGTGTTAGGAATCACACGTTAAAAGGTAAGACCTCGTTAATCCTTAGCTCGCACAAGTTTCGACTTCTGAGGGTTGTCGTTCGTAGGGGTGCGACAGCTGGTTAACGGAAAAACAAATTTTAAACAGATTTTTAAACAACCGATGTGGGGGGGTTCTATGTCATTGATGAAGTAAGTTTCTATCATTATGATGATCTTGGACCAATGGCTCTATTTTCAGAGTCAAAATAAAAATCATAGGGCGTTAATCATCCAAAGCCACCGAAAACAAACTGACACGCATCCCAAAATCCCAACTAACAATGTTAGTGTAAAAAGTTTTCCTGATTTTGTTATTGATAACGGATTTTTGAACTTAAATAGTTGCTATGTAACTGGCTTGAAAGCCTTTGACCTAAAAGTTGATTTCCTTCATGGCATGATACCTCAGAACATAAATTTCTACTTGGAAAAGTTGAAAATAAGTACTGATTATACTATGAACATGCCCTTATTGAGTTTGAAATGGTTGGCGTTATTCGGATTGGGAAATTTCCAGTAAGTGTGTCCTTCAGTTCAACATTTTCAGTACTGAACAGCCAGTAAGCCACTTTATTTATGTATCAATTTCATTTTTCAGTTTATCTTTATCTGATTTGAGCGTGAACGCTTCAATTTTCAAGGATCTAGAAAATCCACTCTGTAAACTGAAAATAAATTTAGGTGATGCACAGGTAAGTGTATATTTTCAAAAAACTGAATTTGTTGTTGCATCCTACAGACCATCCTACAAACCTACAGAAATCTCAACTGTCATTTCTGGCTCAATGTATCCATTCAGAGTACATCATTTTCGGGCCCAATGATCATTTACTTCACGGAATGGGGAGTGGTCATTGGTTAGTGATACCGGCACAACCTCTGAGAGTGTCGGTGTTTTGGGGACAGTGTCACTCAGCACCTCTGTTAGTGGGGTGGTGGGGGGTCCAAGTGATTACACCAGGAATATTTCATGAATCTTGATTCGTATATGTTGAGCTGGGCGGTTATAAAACAACGCATTACTGTAGAGACCCAATCACAAAAATTGTTCGCTTATGTATGTGTGACATTTAGTTTTGTCCTGAGATTATTATTTTGAAATTATGTCCCACCAAACATAAATGTAATCATTTCAGTTGAGCGTTACGGGATTCCTAAATGATCCAGATTACAGTCATGAACTTTCTGAAGAACTTTCCAAAAGCATTCCACTAATAGTCAACAGTGAAGAATTCTCTTCTCTAGTCGAGACGATTATAAATGATATTATCGCAAACTTATTCGAAAAGAAAAATGGTGCTACGGTATCTGTTCCAGCGGTAAGTTAATTTCCGAATTTGAATAATTTAACTGCTACACTATTTTACTTCCAGAAAATAATATGAAAAATTCTTACTTCAATTTTATTCTGGTTCAACTCTCGGTTACCCTCTGAATCTTTAGGGATTTTATTACTTCTCCGAATGGTAATCTAATTTATTATTAGCATGGCTAGCATGTTTCGAAAAATCGCATTCGAAAATTGTAGGAGTAATCAGAATTTGCAGTTTTTAGGTTATCATTCAATCAAAAATTATCAGACTCCTTTTCAGTGAAAAAGGTTAGAGTATCACATCATGAGTCACATATTGTCATTTTCACTCTACCAATTATCTTGTGTACATCATTAATATGTATAGAGCTAAACCAACAGTGGACCTAAAACAAATCACTATGGAACACCAAGAGAAACATAATGAATATGTTTAGAACGGAATTGTTTTGGAATTTATTGCAACTGTAAAGACCTCCAGAATAGTTTCCTTTAATAGCTTCCATGTACTGACATGGATCGGTTACACTTTTATTATTTGTATTGATTGACATAAGTTCTCATAATCAATCAAATTTTGATTTGCAGATTGATGGTGGTGCTGAGAGAAGACTATTTGTCGTCGACCTTCTGAATGCCTTAAGAATATGGGTAGAAGATTAATTTGAACATGCAAATACACAGGAAACATAGAAATCAATTTCCCTCTTCAATTAATTTTGTTTCACGTGAAATAAATAACAACTTGTTATTAATAATACTGGGTTTTCATAGAAAAATGTACGAATCAAAAACAATCACTCAAGTTTAGCAAATTCACAAAAAGCATTATTTAGTCTTAACCCCCTTACCTATTTCAAATCATGATTTGAACTAACTTCGACACAACAACTTATTAAATAGTGTTATACGGGTTGAACAGCGATTAAGGTCCCTTCACAAACACCAATTTGTTAACTCTCTTACATGATAATTACAAAATTCAACTATAGGAATTTAACTAGCATTAGTAATTAGGTAGTCATCAATACATAGTACACACATCGCCAAAATTTTTGGATCCCCCTCGTAAATTGTAAGACAAAATATTTATCACGGCTGGTTTTTTGTACATTTCATCTGTATTTTTTGACCTGTGCTAGGCATGCATACCTAAATGTATACAAAAACAATTTCCTCTAATTTTAGATATCAATGTTTAAAAAGTGGTTCATATCGATTTAGCGTGTTTAAATGATTGTTGAGTTCTTCTTTACAATTAGGCCTGGCAATAGAATTTCAGTGTTCCATAGAGCAAGAATAGTGGCTTTGCATGATGAGGATCTGCCGAATCATCAAATCGCGGATAGACTAAGGATTCCCCGCGCTTCAGTTATCCGAATGGTGCATTTTGTACCAGGAAACTAACAGCGTTGACTGGATATGTGAAATAGGGTAACTAATGCAAGAGAAGATCGGTATCTAGCAGGATATGTACATCGGAATCGAACCATAACAATTTCAGACGTCGGCACTCATTTAAGAAGAACGTTTGATCGGTTAATTTCCAGTGCCACACAATACGGCGGAGACTTGCTACTTTCCAGATACATAGCCGTTCGTCTACAGGAACACAGAGACTGGCTTTTAGCTCAGTGGCGAAATGTCCTTTTTCCGAACGAAACCAGATTTGGTTTAGTTAGTGATAGTCGGCTACACAGAGTTTGGAGAGGGCCAGGGCGATAAGAAAGACTATCTTTTGATAGAGAAGTCGTTCCATACCAAAGAGGATCAGTAATGTTTTGGGGAGGCATAATGCATGGTCGTCGTACGCAGCTTATTCCCATTCCAAATACTATGACAGGCGACGATAGATATGTTCGAAACATTATTCATCCTCTCCGAAATTGGAGCCAATTTCATTTTCATGGATGACAATGCTACGCCCCATTGCACGAGAAGAGTACAAAATGCACTAGAGATTGAGAATATTCAAAGATTACCATGGCCAGCAAATTCACCAGACATGAATTCCATTGAGCACATGTGGGATTTCGTTGAACGAGCAATCTCAAATAAAATTAATTCTCCTAGCACCCTTCCGGAACTCACACTCGCGGCCCGAAAAGAATGGAATAACATCCCAATGGATACCATTAACGCCCTTATTGTTTTCATGCACAGGCGAGTTAACACCTTACTACAGAACAGGGGAGAACACACCGAATATTAATGAATTTTTGATTTCGCTCTAAAATGGTTTTCTTATACATTTCAGATTCTGGTAATCATTTTATTATGCACTATTTTTCGTTGGTATTTTTTATCTTGTTCATTTAAAATTAAATTCAGCCAATTTGCGTTGGTTACATAACCAAATTGAATGTACTTTGTAATACACCTCTTGACTTATGATAAAAGTGTCTTATTTAGACACAAAAGTGAAATACTGAAAAAACATTTGATTTTGAAAGTAGGCCAAACACTCTTAAATCATCAGTAAATTCCATACTTGTGATGCACTGTTTGGAACCTTTGGTGTAGTAATGAATATTACTGGAGTTTTTTTCCAACCCCAAACCGTTATTTTAACACCTAGACACGTATTTCGATCACCAAGTGATCATCTTCAAGAGGAAGATTAAAATTTTTAAGATTAAAACTTTCCATCTTCCTCTTGAAGATAATCACTTGGTGATCGAAACACGTGTCGAGGTGTTAAAATAACAGTTTGGTGTTGATCACTTGGTGATCGAAACACATGTCGATGTGTTAAAAAAACGGTTTGGTTTTGGGAAAAACTCCAGTAATATTCAGTAAATTCCATATCAGCGAACATATTTTTCATCAAAATTTGAATAGAATTAATTTGCATAGCAGCATATAACTATCTTTGCTGTATATTTTTCTGTGTTAATTATAATGAGTATTGAATTTATTCCCTAGATATGTTGCTTTTCTCCATGAAAAAATCAACTGACCTATATTAAATCGTAAAAAATACTATGTTTGTGCTAAATTCTATATCTATACAACAACATAACAGGAAGTATCGAGATTTCATTATGTATGGGTTCGATGAACTCTAATGTATAAAAGTAAAAGTAAATAAACAATAAATATCAGTAGTGTCTCTCCAATATTCAAAAGTGATAGTTATTGTTCTGATTTCACTTGTCACCAATAGTTACTAATAATGTAAGTTTAGAAATGATTTTTTTTGTTTTCGGATTGCTGTAATGAGCTTTCAATAAATTCAAAAAAAGGCGGTTTGGCGCATAAATTCAAAAAAAGGCGGTTTGGCGCGTGCCTTTTTTAGAAAACAAAAGTTATTTCGCTATCATGTATTACAATATGGATTCATTCATAATGTTATTTTAAGAAGCACCTGATATTTATAATAATTGGGAATTTACTAATTGTACTTTTTCCCTGGTGTATTATTTATTAATTCACCAGTAGTTGTATGAAATTAAATCCGTTATCAGCCGAATTGAAACCTCATTTCTTTAAATATATCAGTTAATGAACACGATTAGCGGAACAAAAATTTAATTTTATCAGAATAGGATTGATTGATTCGATTAATTCAAATGAGGAATTTTACTGAGTAAAATTCCTCATTTGAATTAATCGAATTTGAGGGGGAGAAATTTTTGAAAACATTTCTTAACATCACGGCCATCTCTGGGGCGAGTCATCAACCAATATTCTGCTGGTTGCCTACAAAAAATCATAAAACATTTGTCATATGATATGAGTTTTGTGGAATAACGTTTTCCATTGCTTAAACCAGTTGTGTTCTAGTGTCAATCTTACAGTACTCGTGTTCTATCAAATTTCAGTTTTGGTGAAGTCCTAATGGAACAAATTCAGCACATGTCCCTCAACAACGCTACTGCTACAACAGAAAAGATCAAGATGTAATCTACTAGCTACTAGATTATAGAATGCTATTATTACTTTTTCATTATTTCAAAGTGATAAATTGATAGAAATAATTATTAATTTGATCTAAATAAATATTCGGAAAAACATGTTTTACTTCAACATAAAATCAGAATAAAAAATAAAAAATATTGATTACTATCACTTGTTGCAGTCTACAAATAATAAGAGGCACTTTTTATGCATTTGTAACTTTATTGAAGATAATAATTATAATATCAACTGAAAATACACAATTAACCAAAATTGCTCAAATATGAATATATTTTGCCACATTCTTATCAAGTATTCAATACAAATTCAAGTTGATGGAAATTACTTATGTAACTTAAGTAACGGTAATTGAGCTGAAGGTGAGAAGTAATTGTTACATCACTATTGTCATTAGTCGATTTTATTACTGTTGATGATCAATTATAGAATTGTATAGGTTTTTTTTTAATGTTCATGAGATAACCATGAGTGATGCTAGCGATAGTGGGTAGTTATACAAATTCAAGTTCAAATCGAGGTCAACTTGTAAGCTATTTTCAAATTTGAATCGTTCGAAAAAAAGAGTTTAGAGAAATATCTCTAACTACATGAAATGTCTGAGAACCACATCAATTCTTTGAAAGAATGAAAAATACATGGGTGTTTCCTATTTTTTTTTTAATTAAAAACTGGCAACACTGGGGATGGGGGTCACACTAAACTAACCTTTTTATTTTTAAATGGTTAAAGGTCAAAAAGGTCACCTGAGATACGGTACTTTTGATCACAAACTTTTATGTATTAATATAGTAGAATATCTTATTCTTGTGAAGGTTTCTCATCGAAGTACCGAAAGCAATGTCTTGGTTTTCTGATATTTCCGTGGCTCCTCCAGTGGAAGTGTTCGCCCTAGGAAAAGCATACACAGATGATACCTTCAAACAAAAAGTAAATTTGGGTGTTGGAGGTAAGATATAGATACTAGAAGAGTTAAAGGATACCCGTTTTAGGCTTTATACTTTTGCTATAATATATCAGAAATAGAAAATGTTCAAAAAAGGGATCAAGAGTTAACAGATGTTTCAAATACAAACCAAGTGTAAGCTTATTAAAGAAAATCATACCAAATTATACAGAAATCATTATTTTATCTACTTAAATATAAACACTACTACAGTTTTTAGGTGAAAATACATGTTTTTAATTCCTCATAAACATAATTTTGAATAGTTCGTATAACAATGATGCACTCAAATTGTTGGTTGCTTCTTTCAAGTCATCCCTTTTTTTATTTAGTCTGGAACTTTGACTATGTAGTATTTTTTTTAATGAATCAAAGTAACTAGTTTCTGTTTTGAAGTTGTATGACTTAATTTCAAGCAGCAAGAATTTGGCTTAATTGTTAAATTCTGATGATGTATAAGTTCTTCATAAAATATTGAACGGTTTTCTCAACATAATATAGGCAATCAAATAATTGAATGGATTATATCAAAGATGTATAAAGCCAATAATATTTTTCAATAACTTCAGATTAGTTTTTTATAAAGTTCATCTGGTCTTCATTTTATATTTCCAGCTTATCGTACAGCTGAAGGTAAACCGTGGGTACTGCCAGTTGTTAGAGCAGCGGAAAAGGCACTAGCAAATGATGAAACACTCAACAAGGAGTACCTCCCCATTCTGGGATTGGATTCGTTCACTACAGCAGCTACAAGGATGTTACTAGGTGAAGACAGTCCTGCAGTTCTTCAAAATAGAGTGAGAAAAATGAACTCTCAAATTCAATTGTATATTTAGTATTTGGTAACTTCTTTTTGAATTTGGAAGGAAGTTGAAATGGGTGTAATTACTAATTCAGTATCGGTGATTTAGGCGTTAGCACATTTCTCTGCTTCAATTCCAATACAGGAATAATCATTGTTGTCATTTTTATGTTCTTTGGTTCCAATTTATGGAAACTTTAGATTGAGTCAATATACTGGTCAAAATTATTAGTACTGTCAATATTATTCTTGACATTCTTTTGGTAAGTCATTCTGGTTATTCTACTGATACTGGTTGGGAACCAAAAAACATCGCTATTGTAAAGAAATAGTTACGAATGACAACTCCCAGAAGTCAAAACTTGTTCGAGCTAAGGAATAATGAGCTCTTTCCTTTCAACGTGTGATTCCTAAAAGAAACAATATGCAATGTTTCCCAAAATTTTCATAAATAAACACGCAAAAAAAGCTACGAATTCACTATGACAGTCGTTTGAATGAGACTGATATTATTCAGTTTGTATGACATTTTTTGAAGTGTGTTTTTGTTCTAGAGTTTTGGAGTACAATGTCTTTCTGGCACAGGCGCATTGAGAGTGGGGGCAGAATTTCTTGCGCGTGTCTTGGATAAGAAGATATTTTATTACTCTAATCCCACATGGGGTACGAAAAATAGACAAACAGAATAGTACTGTTCATTTGTAGGAATGTTTTTGCAGGAAATCACAAACTGGTATTCAAGAACGCTGGTTTCGAAGAAGGAAGGGAGTATCGTTACTGGAACAATGAAACTAGGGACATTGATTTCGCTGGTCTTCTAGAAGATTTGAGAAATGCCCCAGAGCATTCTGTAATCATACTTCATTCTTGTGCTCACAACCCTACAGGTAATAACACATTTCCTTGGCGGCTGGCATATTGGTATTTGATTATTCATTTTATGTGTATTCCGTATGTTGTTTCATAACACAACCCTATCTGAAAAAACCAATCCCAATCAAACAGTACTGACTGACGTCTTTAGCAAATAAACTAGTTATCAAATCTTATCTCAGTTAGGTTATAAACAATTTTGCATAATAACTTATTGTGTAATATTCAACGAAAGTCATTTTTTTTGGAGGAAAATCAGTGTAACTTTCTGTAATTATAGTTTGAATGTAGATAAGCAATTAACATGAAATCACTTAGATTAAAAATAAACTGAAATATTGTTTGAAGATAAGCAGGTGTCAAATTACTTTTAAAACATCATGATTTTTTATTTGTCCCATGTTCGATTAGTCTCTACCCAAAATAGCATAATTGAGGTTGTGACATTCGTGATTGTGCATGAATGAATAATTGTTATGTCATGGTAGAAGCAAATATTTATCAAAGTATTATTTACAATGCCAAGAGGGAGAACATTAAATATTTTGCAACAAAGCCATAATATAATTAGACTGTGAAATATTGCGAATCAATCCACGGCAGATGAAAAAGAAATCGCAGGAGAGGAGCGTCGTGTTCAGTGTTGCCAGGTCTATTGTTTCTGCAGAAGATCTCCTGGTTTGGCTCTCGAACTATTGTTATACTGTTTTGAGAGTTTAAATCTATTCATGACTGAGTTTACACTCTATGATAATTATTAAATTACTGTAAATAGTTCAAATAGACATGTATGTAGTTTTTATCTATAAAATGTATTACCTAAAACCTAATTTTTGTTCACATTCTGAACCAGCTCAATTAATTTTTATAAAAATGTTGATAGTTGGAACTGTATATCGGACTCGTCAACACAAAAAATTAAATTTCAAGTATATCCTTCATGTCACAAGAACACAAGTTAACAGAAGGAAAACATTGTGTAAACATATTATTCCACGACTCCCACTCTTGCTAGTCGAGTACTCACTTAGGATAGTTTCGTGAAAATTATCTCGAAATACCAGGCTAAATGTGTTGGAGTTGAGTCTAAAATAAGTTTGTATAGGTTAATTTTGAAAGAACAAAATCTGCAATATTTCAATGAAAAATAATTAGAAGTCTGATGAACCACAATATCAAGAATCGTTTGCTTTAAAGTAACTCCTAACATATGAGTTATGTTCAAAGCCAAGTCAAATATTTGATTTATCCTAATCTGTATTAAATGAAATATTAATGAGAATGAAGAACAATATCATGAACAGTTATTTCTTGGAAATAGTGAATGTAGAATAAATCAATGGCTGTATGTTAGATTTCAAATTGAGCAAGAAGGCTCTCAATAGCTGAAATGGTTATTTCAGTATCAATGTTATATCATCATTGTTATTCAGTAACTTATCCCAAAAAACATTTCCTTTTGTTCATCCTTTGAAAATATTCCAGGATGTGACCCTTCCCTGGATCAATGGACTCAAATAGCTGAAGTCATAAAGGAGAGGAGACTCTTTCCATTCTTTGATTGTGCCTATCAAGGATTTGCTTCGGGAGATTTGGTGAAAGATGCAGCAGCTGTCAGATATTTTGCAGAGCAAGGATTTGAATTCTTCTGTTCGCAAAGTTTCGCCAAGAATTTTGGACTATACAGTAGGTATTGCACATATAAAAAAATAATTGAAACGGTCTTGGTTATAAACACAATAGATAAAGTGAAATGATTATTCTGAACTGTTTCTATTTTAGATGAACGTGTGGGAAATCTGACTGTTGTGATGAACAATTCAGAGTTGATTATACCTGCCAAGTCGCAACTGACATTGATTGTAAGAGGAATGTATTCGAATCCTCCCAGTCATGGAGCTAGGATAGTTGCATATGTGCTCGGTAATCCAGATTTGTATGCTCTGTGGTAAGTTTTCATTGCTGATAATTTATATGAATCATTTCATGAATCAATCGAGTGAAACAGATTCTATTTGAGTGTGGTGTTTCCCTTTTCAAAACAACTTAGCATTCTCCTACATTTTATTGTTGTCCAAATCTTTGTGTCTTTGGCAATGTCATATTGTACGACCCGTTCCAAGATCCTGATATTTCAGGGACGTCTGCGTGGATATGAGTTACAATGTTATCTTCTCTACTTTCTGGGATCATCATAAATTAGTCATGGAATCGTAATCCAGAAAAAAAAACAAAGAGATTCAGATCAATTGATCTTGTAGGTGGATCCATGCATTGGTTTTTCTATCATTATACTTTTTTACATCATCTATTGTGTCTATTCTCTCTTCTTCTCTATATCTCTCCTGCTCCTCTCTCTATTTTCTCTCTCTTCTTTTTCTATCTCTCCACTATCTTCTGTTTTTATTTCCTCTCCATACTCTCCTATTTTTCTCTCCTCTCCCCACCCTCTCACCACTCTTTCCGGTTTTTCTTTCTCCTCCCCCTCTTTATTTACCATTCTTCTGTTTTTCTTTCCTCTCCGCCCTGTCTCCTTTCACCATCCTCACTCTCTCCTGTTTTTCTTTCTTCTACCCCTCTTTCTTTACTCTTTTCTGTTTTTTCTATCCCCTCTCTCTTTTTCCTCTCCCCACCCTATCACCACTCTTTCCGGTTTTTCTTTCTCCTCCCCCTCTTTTTATTTCACCACTCTTCTGTTTTTCTTTCCTCTCCGCCCTCTCTTTCTCCTTTCCCCATCCTCATTCTGTCCTGTTTTTCTTTCTTCTCACCCTCTTTCTCTACTCTTTTCAGTTTTTCTTTCCTATACCCTCCTCTTTTTCCTCTCCCCTCCCTCATTCTTCTCTCTGTCCTCTCTCATATCTTTCTCCTCTCCCTGTTTCTCTCCACTCTTTTTCTTCTTCTCTCTCACTCTTATGTCTCTCTTCTCTCCCTTCTCCTCTCTATGTCCTCTTCAATAGTGATTAAATCTAATCTCAGTCCTATCAATGAATATATGTTGGGGCTCCTTCAATTTCAGTTTTGTTTTCAGGCAAGAACACATCAAAATTATGTCATCAAGGATCATCGATATGAGGAAACAGTTAAGAGAAGCCCTGGAACTGTTAGGAACACCTGGAGATTGGAGTCATCTCACCAAACAAATTGGAATGTTTTCGTACACAGGATTGAATGGTTAGTGTGCAATTCAAAGAATAAGATAGTGAGCAAGGATCATAAAAAAGTAATATTGGTCTACCAATAGTTATTTTCGATGGTATGGAAAGGGGAGGATGGAAATTATCTTATGCAGTTTGAGGAATGTCAGAAATTTTAGGCATGAAACGTGTTCCAAAATTGATGAATTTCACTTAAAAGGGTCGTAACTGGTAACGAATCATAGGTTATGACCCAATCGTCCCAAATTTTTTCAATAAACTATTCAATTTTTTTTTTTTCAATAATCGCCTTTAAGTTCGATGCTCCCACATATGCTTTCAAATGAATTTTTGAAACAGTTTCTCCACTCCGAAATTGTTATCTTAAAAACAGTTTTGAAAAGCTTGAGCTCCTTGAGATGTGTACTTATGTAAGAAATGATTTTATTTCCAAAATTGTGAAATTTAATTGAAAAGAAAAATGATTTTATAAGTTAGTATCAGCAAAGTTATGGTCAAATCGACAGTTAAAAGTATCAGAGTTTAACTTGTAATTTTATTTCCAGAAATTCAATCTGAGCACATGGTTAAGAAACATCACATCTATATGCTGCGTTCTGGGCGAATCAGCATGTGCGGCATAACCCCACAGAATGTAGAGTATGTCGCTAAAGCTATATATGAGACTGTCACATCGCAACCAAACAAGCTGTAATATTAGTGGATTCATATGAAATTGAATTTGAACAAATTTTTTGACGCAACTTTTATTTGTACATATAAAGAATATATTCGATATTATTGTATGGAATATTATGAGGAATAATTAAATGCATTATTTGCTAAATATATGTTGAAGAAACAGTGATGAGCTTTTTCATTTCCCCCATTTTTGAACTCTTGTGCACGACAAATCAGATAAAATCAATACTTACATTTATCTGTTTTAAAATCCGTTTTTCCGTTAATCAGCTGCCGCCCCCATACGAACTACAACTCTCAGAAGTTGAGAAACTTGTGCGAGCTAAGGACTAACGAGGTCTTACCTTTTAACGTGTGATTCCTAACACGGAATATGAAAAAATATTCTCAATAGAAACAAATATTTTGAAGAACTGTTGCTTTCAACTGCCCCACTTCAATATCATGGTTACAACATTTTTAAAGCAATGTGGAAATGTGTAGATTATTCAGACACAAAAATGCCCACCTGTCTATTTTCAGAATTCAAATGGAATTTCCAAGCTATAAAAGCTACTTGAATTACTGGTATTCACATACAAGTAGTAAAACAACTTGTATTTGTAACTAAAATTACTGCATCTTTATACAACATTTTTGTGGTTATTATCAAGCCACCAACTGTACTCAGAAATACAGCATCTTTATGAATTGCTATCAGTTTTATATTATTCGTTAATGATACCAAACGCCTATTGCTACATAACTTTAAAATTACAGAAGTCTTGCTTTATCCAATACTTATTCCATAAATATATTACTTTTGCTTGAACATGCTTCAAACAGAGGACATTCACTTTCTTCCTTACAATTACTTTATCTTTTTTTCCATTTATTTCGGTTTTTCTGACGACTTCGTCAAATCTTTGACATCCAGCCTGGTTACCGGCGTAGGCAATCGCCATCCCTCTAAAATCGTCCTGTTGTTTACTATTACTGTATTCCACTTTCAAATTTTACTAATGAAGGCAAAGAGAGCAGATATCTATTATTTTGTTGAAAAATCAGCGGATACACATTAAAATTCACTTCAAATCGCATTTAGTTCGAAAACTTAACTGGTTTCAGGTGACGAAATTTCAAAAAGCTCTGAATAATTATAAGGCATCTTGCATTAGGTGTTTTCCTTTTCCTTATTTACTAGTTTCTATCTCGTTTTGTGAGTTGCAGTTGCAACAGTATTGCAATTTTATTACTTTCGCAACAAATATATTGAATCTGTTATCAATACAGTAGTCAAAAATTTTCTCATAAGATATTTACAGCTTCAAAAATAGTAATAATGACTTCGAGTCAATATAGGTTTCCATCCAAGAATTTACTTGAAGTTATTTTTCGGTGCTCTCTGGAAACTATAGAACCCGTGTTGAGACTACAGAAAATATAGATTTAAGTGTCAACATGGCAACCATGTTTTGGGATTGACTTTGAGCACGTGCATGGCGCATGACGTCAAGGTCAACTAAAAATTTATATTTGATTTATTCGATAACTCTTCGGTTGTTGCCTGTTATCCCGTTTTAGAGATTAGTTTTTAGTAATTACTAGTGATAAGACTTGTTGTTTGACGTTAATATTGTTTTCGTATTTATATTAGTCCTAACGACAAATTATTGCCGGCCTTTTCTTCATACCTACATAGTTTCGAGATTTACGCCGCTCATGGTACGATTCTGCACAAAGAATTTCGTCGCCGTGGATCAGACATAAAAGAAGTTCGATTTCTTATCAAAAGAAGAAAACATCAAGGAGTAATAGTGGAATGGGAGATAGAGGTTGGAAACCTTTCGTATATGGTGGAATTGCATCTTGTGTTGCAGAATTTGGTGAGTGTTATAACCTCAAATACATATTTTGCCACATCCAGTTAGCTACCAAAACCTGACTGAAACAAAAATAGATTTTTAGAAATCTGGGTCACACTTATTCACAGGGAATATGAATTTTGGCAGAGTGTTTTGTTTTATTTATCTATCAATAAAAATTAAATAAACTGATGACTGAATTTTAACAGCCCTTCATGACTCTTAATATCAACACTTTTATCATGTGAATAATTGTGTGATTTTTATTTCAGATATAACAAATTGCTTCTTTGCTCCTATTCCTTTTCTAGAGCCATCCCTTTATTTTTAAAAAGAGTAGGATATAATTGATACCAGAACTTTAATATCTGAGGTAGATCATCTTCACAATGTCTTGCAGCTGTTCAAAATTAATACATCATACATTGGAAATTTCCCCATTAACAAAAAAAATATTTCCAATCTTTTGAGGTAAAGGTTAAAATGTGAAATATTTTTGAAATTGACATTATTTCCATATTGAACTATTAACTGAATGATTCTTTAGATTGTGACTACAGTGTCTTCAACTATCAGGTGGAATTCTGATCAAAGAAGCAGCTAAATGTTAAGAAAAATTCATGTTAGAACAAAACCATTAGTATTTTAGATAAATTTTCTCAGATTTTCAAAAAAAGAATGATTATTTCAAAGTCATATAGAATGTAAATTGAGAGATCTTTCAGTTTATTCGTTTGGGTTCATATATTGAAACTACGTATATTGTAGTCATAAAATGGTTCACAAATAATTTAACTTAACCTTTGTCATTTTAGGAACATTTCCTATTGATACAACCAAAACAAGATTACAAGTACAAGGACAGAAGTTAGACAAGAAGCATTGCCAGCTTAAGTATAAGGGAATGGTAGATTGTTTTTTCAAAATTGCCAAACAAGAAGGATTTGCATCACTGTATTCAGGGTAGGTACCATATAAATATTTTGTAATTTGAAAACAGCAAATATCTTGATAACCCTTATCGTAAGTTCTGTCCACAAAATAAAAACATTTTGATTGGTAAATCAAAAGTTTCATAGTTTATTTATCATAATTGAAGTGTTGTAACCTAAGGATAGATCAGAATTGCCTATGAAAATATTTTGAATAAATTGAAAATAGGTTATTTTAAAAACAGACCATAGACCACTGAAAAATTTTAAAACAGTTGCTGAGGGCTAAATGCCCTCAATGTTCAATTGACATTCATAAATTATGAAGAAGCCTTTGGACATTACTGACAATGTATTGTCATATTGTCACAATGTGATTGTTCATTTAATTTCCAGAACACATAGCGTCTTGCAACATGAGTAATGAAAGAGAATATTCCACAAACAATAGTTTAAAGTTCGCTAAAAAGTTGATGAGGAATTATTAGCAAAATTGTTTAACCACTATACAACAAAGAAATTCATTAATTTGAATACTAGAAAAACAAAAATTCTGAAAGAGAATCGGTGAGACAGTTCCAAAAGAATTGGTCGTTGCTGAGACTTAGAGATATAACCTTCTTCCTTACCGTCATAACACATATCACTGATGATGTCACTAACAGACGAAACGTTTGGTATTTCAAGTTCCATTCGACCAGCCCGGGTTTTGTTCTTTTTGCATTGTCAGTTATCTGTATGACAATATTATTAGTTGTTCTGTGAGCCATTCTCTTGTGAAGAAAATTGAGATGAGCAGGAAACATCCTCTAACCAGAATATGTTCTTCAGGGGCAATAGAATTCTATATCATGCTAAAGTTCTGCGGGATCAAAGATATATTTTGAAAGACAAGCAAAAATTTGGAAGCAATGGAAGTGTTTTTGTTATGACATAAATGAAAGAAGAATTACTTATTAACCAGGGAGCCTACTACTGATGATTTTTTTGAGTGATACATGGTAGTAAAGTTCATGATTATCAAGAACAATTTTTTAAATAAACTCGACCTCATTTGTGATAACCGCAGGATGGAACACCTACTTTTACTGTAGAGAGACCTAACACCTTTAATGGCCTACCGGTTCTCCTGAACTCGTCTCTCTTGACTCATTCTTGTGAGGTCATTTATATAATGAGGTTCATAAGAAATACAGTACTCTTACACTTCACAACAATAAATAATAGAAAATTTCTAAGCTGTCGATGGCAGGAACTTGCTGAAAAAAGGGTGGTGTTTTTGAGCCACTGCTAAGAATATCAATTCATCTTTAGGAAGAAATTCCGCATTGAGAAGGCCCTCAAACCTGACCAAAGATGCCGATATAATATACTATGGCTGTGAAAGCAATTAACAATTTCCACAAATATATGCAGATTTCCTCAGAGTAGCTATTCTGTATCCAAATCTTATAAATGGACTCATAAACGTTTTATTTTAAATTTTATGTCTAATGTCAAAACTCAAATTCATACTTGTTTCAGTATTTGGCCTGCCGTATTACGACAATCAACTTATGGAACCATCAAATTCGGTACTTACTACTCTTTAAAAAGAATAATTCTTGAGCACAGCGAAGCCCAAGAAAGCATCACTATTAATGTATTTTGTGCTGTGTTAGCTGGAGCAGTGTCCAGCGCCATTGCCAACCCGACCGACGTACTGAAGGTGCGAATGCAAATTGCCGGAACGAATGGAAACAGCAGCATAAGCTTGTTGGATTGTTTCAAGGACGTTTATACTCATGAAGGAATCTCGGGTTTGTGGAGGGTAAGTGTTATATTTTTAAATATTTTTCCCTTGAGTTTGAATAAATTGTTTTTCAGGGTGTCAACCCCACTGCCCAAAGAGCTGCTGTAATAGCTGCTATCGAACTGCCAGTATATGACTTTTGCAAAATTCGTCTGATGACTCTACTTGGTGATAAGCCTTCTAATCATTTTATGTGAGTATGATCGAGAATCTGGGATGAACATCGGAATTAACTTTGTCTTTTCCTTCTCAGATCCAGTCTGATTGCCAGTTTTGGGAGTGCGATTGGTTCAACTCCTATTGACGTCGTAAGGGTGAGTTGAAATCAACGACAAAATTTTTTAGGGTGAACATTTCACTAGGAATAATGATATAATAATTTTTTTAGACTCGTCTTATGAACCAACGAAAATTGAAAACTTGTGGGAATCCGCTTCCTTCTCATATCTATTCAGGTACTTTGGATTGTTTTGTACAGACTTACAGGAATGAGGGTTTCTGGGCATTCTACAAAGGATTTGTTCCCACTCTGTTCCGGATGGGGCCTTGGAATATAATATTCTTTTTAACCTATGAACAATTGAAAAATTTGTATTAGTCGATTCCCACTTGCACTAGACAGGCATTTAGTGTACGCTTTTTTGACAATTGTGATTCCTATTGCACCAATTTTTATTTATTTTTACTCTTATTTTATGATGTATATAACGAATTGTAAAATGAATATAACAATAAACAGACTATATACTGTAAAAAAAATTTCAATCCTTAATGAATTTGTAGTTAAGAGAGATCATACTATTTTACGTCACAAAATGTGAATCGTAAACACTTCCTCAAGAGGTATTCAATTAATTTCTCGGTTGTTTTAACTGGGGCAAAAACCCACTCCGCCAAGAAATGACTGTAGAATTTTTTTTAAGCTGCAAACTTCTAGACGTGAAAGGCACCGTATAACATCTATCAACCCATTATCTCTTTTAGGATGATCATATACGACTGATTTGATGCAGCACATTTTTACTTCGAAAATAGGGATTAAAGCTGATAAATTGGATTATTCATATACCACTGTTGACGAAAAAGTGGTGCATGGGTGTTGAAGAAATTTTCTCTCTCAAATCGACTCGGTACAAATTATTGAAAACATTTGAAATGGAGAATGTTCAAAGTCAAACAAGGAAGTTGAGCAAATATATAAATTATTCTCCTATGGTATTTACAATTCACTTACGAGGTATGTTCAGGAAATAACAGAAATGTTTGTTTTTAAAAAAAAACTTCTACATAAAAGTTGTCACCATCAAAATACTTCTCAAACTTGATCTTTGTGATAACCTTTAGCTTTTTCAGTGACAGGTGTTCAAGTTTCTCTTTATTTTTGGAAACAGGAAAAAATCACGAGGAGCCATGTCTGGCTAATATGGAGTCCAGTATTGTTTTTCACCAAAAATTCACGAACGAGCAATGAAGTATGAGCAAGTGCATCATCGTGATATAAAAGCCATGAATTTTTTCGATTGGTTCACACGAATCATTAGCGACTTCTCTGATTGTGACTCTGCGATCGTGCACAACCATGTTCTCATTGGTTGTTAATGTTCTGTGGCTTTCTTCATCTTCAATATCTTCATGACCATCATGAAAACATTATACCACTAGTGAACTCTTGCTTAGACTCTCCATATCCATAAAATTTAAAAATGTCTGTTATTGTCTCAACATACCTTGTATAATATCAGAATGCCAATATTAACAACGAACAAAACTGACCACACTGTCGGTTAACAGATGGGCATTCTTTTACTTCAGGGAGTCTTTAGTGAAAAAGTAGTAACTTTGATTAATATAAAAGGTAAAATTGTGGAGTACCAACACTTCTGCTAATTTACACTGTAACAATTTTTTTTCAAGTAGAAGTTTCATTAAAAAACACAAATTCTATAAAGAACTTCGTAACAAATATTTAATAACTATTTTGCATAGAGGAAATTCTACACATTCCACTTATTGAAAGTAAAAGTGTGATTGAATAGAATGTGGTAACCTTAGAGACCTTTCACCGAAAGGAAAGAGCCTATTTTGTTTATATTAACACGGTCCAGTTGAGAAAAATCATTCGATTTCTTCTAAACTTGTCTTACAAGGAGTCGAACACTTTCCTCCCCGGTGAGAGAAAGTGTAGAATGAAGGGATGTTCCTGAATGTGTCCCACGACTTGTTATCCAGTTCAGCAGATGCCTTTATTTCTTTGAAGTCTCCTACTACTTGCAGAACGCCATACATTATAATGAACAAACTTAGGATTGTCTGAATAAGTATCTGAAAAAAGATGTTATTGGGCAATAACTACAATAAACAGAAACCAAAACAACTCACATCCAATGGTAAATGCGTGAAATCCAATTCATTTAATCTGAGATATGATCGATCTGAAAGAGAATCCACAATAGTTTATATTTTGAAGCCTATACAATACACTTACGTTGCGCTGCAGAATATGCTGAATGGAATAATGAGACGAATCCTATAGTCAATACGCTTTTTTGAATAAATGTGGCCATTTTTCAGTCAATATTTTGTGAATTCAATTTTATTTACCAGAAAATGACTTAAAAATGCAAAAACCCACTGACATACAAGTTGGATTGGCCGTTACGTCACTTTCACTTGAATGTAGTTAGTGACTACATTAGAGAGAGAGAACTGTGTAATATAAATTCCGTGGGTGGCAAATTATGTCACCACCACAGCTATGCGTATATATCTTTCAGATACTCGAAAATATTTTTTTGTTCCATTCGTTCAATATCGTTCATAGATATGAATCGACCTTATTCGGCTCTCTTGAATTTTCTAAAACTCAATTCCTAATTTTTGTTTCTACTAGTTGAGTCAGAACTGATTCTTCTAACTGGTTCAACAAAAGCCCTCCAGGTAATAAGCCAATTGTATCATAAAATTTGATGAAATGTGTTCAGAAATACCAGTTGATCATTTTGATGAAATGAAGATAAAGCTCTACTAATGGTACAGCTTCTTTACCAAATACTTTGATCTACAACTTGTTCGGATGTACATTCAAATGTTTTGACAGAAAATGAAAACGCTACTCATTATTAGCCACATTTGCCACCCACGGCATCATCCTTTTTTAAAGTGTTGGTGGATGCTCTCTTTCTAACGGCCAGTCCAACTTGTCATGTCTATGACTTCATAAGAAAACACAGAACTATAAGTTATAGTTCTGTGTAAGAAAACAATCAATAACCTAAAATTTTTCTTCTTCTATTTTGCATCTTTGGCACGTCGACTGTGTCTATAGCCATTGAAGAGAGAACATTGACTCCATCAACTGAAGGACGGATAAATTTACGTTTTTGCATCACACTCATACAAAACCTCACGAAAGAGACACATCACTGTAGAAGATCCATAAACTTTTTGACAATCTTGAGGTGATTGTTACAATCGGACATGAAACGCCTCCAAAAAATTCAGAACTGTAGATATACGGTTCTCTTATGGTTTGATCACATCTCAGCTAAATTTTAGGAGTATAGCTGGCTCAGACTGATTCAAATTAGGCAACTCCACCTTCTTGTTACAACTCACAAAGTTATCTCAAAGGACACCTCACTATTTATTTGAAAGATACTAAACATTTGAAACACAGTGTCAATGTAAAACCAGAAATCGTGGTGAATTTATCCTTCCCAAACACTCCACAGCTCGTTTTACTCTTAAGTTTCATATATAATTCAGTTATCCTCTATAATGCACTTCCCAGTGAGTTCAGACACTACACGTTATATGTAACTTCAAGAAGAAATTGAGACTGCACTTGAAATTAGCTGGATACTTCAATTGGATGCCGTTAAATGCTCTTTTATATTATGTTATTGCCGTTTTTTCTTTCTCTGTCTACTACTTCGTCTTTCATTTTTTTGTTAAACTTTCAAATATTCTTTCACAAGTTAAATATTTGAATGTCTGTATATTTGTGTCCTTTCAACTAGGTAAGCTGAAAAACAGCTCAAGCTCAACTTCGCCTTCCATCTTTATGTTTGTTTTTGTATGTTATTACTCTTGTTTATCAATAAAGCCGATTATTATTATAATCCCAAAATTAAAACATCAAAATTTCACAAGTCATCCATCTATTCAAGTAAAAATATAGCCTATCTATATTAACAAATTAGGTTTCCTTAACTGAATCACATTTTAAAATAACATCCAAAATATAAAATACAAAGTACGATAGCAAACACTGGATTATTCCTCAGGCAGTCTTCACACACAGGATCATCGACCCTCAACTGAAAAAAATAAATAAATAAAGGTTCTGTTCAATTGAAGTTGGGAAAACCTATAAAAAATATACTCACTGTAGGAGCTAAGATCAATTTCATCAGGTAACTCCGTAATATTAACATCAAATCTCTCTTGAACCTCGTTCAAAATCTTGGCATCCCCCTCTTCGGAAACAAAAGTGATGGCTAGACCTTTTGTACCAAACCGGCCTGCCCTAGCCACTCTATGTAAGTAGGTATCGGAGTCTTCTGGCATATCATAGTTGAAGACAATGTTGACCCTTTCAATGTCCATGCCACGCCCAAAGAGATTCGTAGCTACCAATATTCTCTGAAAAAAATTACAAAGCGAATTAGAACTGAAGTTTGAAAATTTTGTCAGAGTTCTTAAATGAGCGTCATTTCAGAAATAATTCCACTAAGTAAATAATCAGGGTATTCATATGTCCCTACGTAATTGTCATCATGTGAACAAAAAATGATTGCTAAAAAAATGTTTATCCCGAAAAGTTCAACAAAAACGACATACATACCTTCTGGAAATCTTTGAACTGCTCATACCGAGACAGCCTCTCTTTCTGGTCCATTCCTCTGTGAATTCCTATAGCTGGGAAATTCTGTTCAGTCAGCAACTGTGCCAAAGCCACACACCTTTGAACGGACTTCACAAAAATGACCACCTTAAACAAAATTTTCTTTTGAACAATTGAAATAAAAATTGACTTACTTCAAAGTTAGCCTAATGAAATCAGTGAGAGAGTTCAATGAATTATAATCATAAATCATAAAGTCTTATTCATCATTTCGAATAGAATTATTGAATATAGTAAATGATTGTTGGAATGTGTAGCTCATCTATTTATTTCAAGGGAAAAAACTTGGCTCTACATACTTAGTCAATTGAAATAATTTGGAAAAATAACATTTTTTGCCTTACTGTAAAGATACCACCATTGTCTGAAGAATTGTAAATTTCAAAAAGATTTTAATAGAACAAACAAAAAAGGAGTTAATTCATATAGTCAGTCAAAACAGACACAAACAAGTCAAGATACAACTGAAAATGGAGAAAACTGTAAATTTTCTGTCATCCAGATGAAATTAAAAAAATAATCTTGGTAACAACATCCTTACCTGATTAAATTCGAGAACATCGAGCAACTCAAATAATTTTTTATTCTTTTCATTTTCTTTGAGTTTAACGTAATGCTGTTGTAATCCGTGCAACGTCAATTTGGCTTCATCGTCTACATACACCTCCATTGGCTAAACAGAGAAAAAGTTAGTACATTGAAATTATGTCTTAGATTATGTATGCCCGAAAAACATCAACTAGATATCAGACTGATGTCTAAAAGCAATGAAACTTGTCGGAATCTCCAGAGTGAACATTATTTTTTTTACTACACAAATGGTGAAAATGGCAACTGAAAATCGAGTATTTTTTATTTGAAAAAGCTGTCCCTGTAACCTAATAAGAACCCTTGAAATTGAAAGATATAAAAATCGCCATGTTGAAAAAGTATCAGCATAATATTAAAGTAGAGGTGAAAAGAGGAGTGAATTTTTCGGTGACACGTCAATTATAAAATAATACCCCTTCTAAAAGGAGACAGAGAGCAGCTACAAACAGCAGCTGCAGGGTATATAAGTTGTTTCTTTGGCAGCCAGGTTGAGTCATTCTCACCAAAAATTACTCACTGCCTCTGCTCGGCATGTTCTAAAAATGAATTAGGGGAACTAAAAAAGTATCTTTTCCTGTCCCAAAAAAAGTATTGTATTATTAGATGGAAAGGACAAGTACAGATACTTGACAATTTCAGAAAACTTTAGCCAAAATAGAGCAAATAACCAAGATGGAGCAGTCTCAGAAGCAAGTGAATATATCTGTCAAATATAAAAAAAGTAAAGTAAAATTTCATTCCTTCCATTATATTGCAATACTATGCAAGGACCAAATACTTGTTTACATGAAACCACCTCAAACTAACCATGAATTCTAAAATTCACTAGCGCTCGACCTGATCATTGAAATCTCTGCAAAAAGCAGCCTTTTTTGCAATCGTCGAAAAGCTGCCTAACATCAGGAATATTAATACGTTTTGCAATAGTTACGGCATTGGCATCGCTCCTCAGTACATACAATCTGCCTAATCTCGTATCGTGCCATCATTCCAAAGGGATACAATTGATGGTCCATTGTTTTGGGAAACTTTCCATCCCATTTGACAAAAACAAACTGCACCAAATTCCGTTTCAGACAAAACAAATAATATTTTAAGAGACTCTGGTCACTATATGGGTGTTGAAGAAATTTTTCTGCATTGTAGCTCGGCCGAAAAGTCTGTATCGCGAAACCCTCAAACGATAATGAATCTTCCTTCGAAGATCTTCTATTCCTCTTCTTAGCCCGGCCCAACCCCTGCCTACTCGTTGGGCTACAATGCGCTAACCGATAACCGTTCACCCCTTTTATAAACTTTCTGAGACATTTTTTCTGAATTTTATCCTGATTATTACCAACTGTTTAACGATCTTCATTTAACGATACGAGGATAGCGAGCGGGCACTAAATTTGTATTTAAATAATTTTCAATTACATCTTGCATGAATTTCTTGCACACCGGCCTGATTTCTTTGCTGAGTGTGGCACTAAACATCATCACTTGCTTGGTGTGAGGGGTGTTTCTGTAGATTTCCTGGACGTCTCTCCTCATATCTGAAATCAAATTCAAGAAATAATTACCCTGTTCAATAAAGTTAACCAAATCTTACAAAACATTTTTGCTACATTTCACAATTAAGTTCCAAATGAAACATGTACATTCGATATGGAATTGAAACAAATATTATTGACAGGAACACTTCACAACATAAGAAAACACACTGAAATTCAATATCCTTAAGTGTACTTCAAGTTGAGGTCAAAAACACTATTTTCAATACCTCATAGGCATTTCTTTGAAGTTATGAAACTGAAAACACATTAATTTGTTGTACAAGATTACGACTGCAACAAAATTTATTCATGCCAGAACAGTAGTATGTAAAAAAATTCATACAGTTATAGGATTTGATTCTCGTAAAATGGAAGGAGAAATTTTTCCAAAGAGATCATTACTTTCAGGAAAAATAAAATGAAATTTCTAGGGATGTGTTTATGTACCATCATAGAGACATGAACAGAACAAGTCATATTCTTGTACAAGAAATGCGTTTGTCTTCCACAATTCAAAGAGATGCTAATGAGGTGTTAAAAACAAGTGTAGAATATCATGAAGTTCGTTCCTGAAGAGTAAATTATACATCTACTCGAAATACTTAAGCAACCACTGCTTTTGTTTGTATTTTTTCATGTAGTTTTATGTGGAAGATAAAAATCCCCCAAAAAAAAGCAATAAAAAATCTTTGAATATGAAGCAATTTTAAATGTTTAGACTGGCAAAGTCAAAACAGAGTTCCCAAAATATATTGGGATACCCATGAGATGTGAAACACATATCCTCATCTCATTTAGAATTTCCAGCAGTTCCAATTCAAAACTAACAAAAATTTGGACATTCGATTATAAAGCAGAGTAAATGTTGACTTCCAAACTTGCAATTAGCAAAAATCTACAGGGTACAAGAGAAAAGTTGCAATTTTAGAAGTCACTCTAAATAAAAATTGCCAATAACCATTACTCACCCAACAGTTCTAACATTTTATCGCACTCATCAAGAATGAAGTGTTTCAGGTTCTTGAGGACTAGCTTCCTAGACTTAACAAGCGCCAAAATACGCCCAGGCGTCCCCACAACAATGTGTGGACATTTGTTTTTCAATACTTCTTCATCATTAGCAATAGGCATTCCTCCGAAAAAGACGCCCACCTTGACACTGGGCATATATTTACTGAACCTCTCGTACTCTTTGCTGATTTGGAAGGCCAGTTCACGAGTGTGACACATCACCAAAACGTAAACAACATTGTCCGCTGGTTCCAATTGTTGCAGTGTCGCCAGAACAAACACTGCCGTTTTGCCCATACCAGATTTGGCTTGACATAAAATGTCCATGCCAATGACAGCTTGAGGAATACATTCGTGTTGAACTGTAAAAAATATTTTGTGAATACTCAATCACAGCCGTCTAAGTCTAAGAATCATACCTTCTGAAGGGTGTTCAAAACCGCAGTCAACTATAGCTCTTAGAATTTCTGGTTTCAATAAAAAATCTCTGAAGCCTGAACTGTGTATGGATACGTAAGTGCCCTTGACCCCTTTCTTTTGTGCTTCATTAGCTGTTGTCTCAGTGGTAGTCTGTTCAGTATTTTCTTCATCTTCGTAGTCCAAAAGATCATCTGCATCTGCCATTGTTCAAGACCTGAAATGAAAGAACAATATGTGAATAAACAAAATGAAGAGAACTCAGTGTATCTGGCTCTCAGTGGACCTACAGAACTAGATCATATTCAAAACGAGAATATTGAAGTTGTGTTTGAGAGCGAGAATGAGCTGAACTTGAATAAACATAGAAAATCAGTGAAAAAGATCAAGAAAAATTCGACAACGTAAATACCTGAATATACTTATCAACTGTGTTGTGCACAGAGGACAATTTTGATGGTACTGATGTATTCTGGTCATTATTAGACCCTGTTCTAGATGAAATCATATTCCAAATTAGTATGTGGTACAGAATGGAAAATTTTTAGAAGTGGCTAAGGAATTACTTCAGTTTTATTGGCTTGTGCAGAAGTACATTCAAAATTATACAATATCAAGAATTGGAAGACACAAAAATCACTATAGATCAGTATATATACACACATAAATATAGAGATATGAAGCTCAGAAACACAAGGCAGTTGAAAATGAAAAACATGGATTCTCAGAAAAGCGACATACAATTCAAAACTAGTACATGAATCTACCCTAACTTGTATGAGCCGCCAAATCAATAAATAGCCCGGAGTATCTCGGAAAGGATTGAAATTATATAGTGACCCTAACAAATAACTCTTTAGGCAAGTACCACAAACCCTTGCAAGAAAAAGTGATATAACTCTTTATGCAAGTACCACAGACCCTTGCAAGAAAAAATGATTAGAAAAACTTCTACAACTTATTACATTAAAATGCCTGCCTTTTTTCAACTGCCACATGCAATGTGCATTTTTCTTTAGTTCAATAAAAAAATGAGACTGAAATTACTTTTTGATTGAACATAGTGCCGCTTCATATCAAGCCATCAAAATTATAAAATGGCTTCTAGCGTGCACACACATTTTCCTATAAAACATCTTGAATATTTTCTGTTTATATCAAACTTACTCAGTAGTTAACGTACTGAATTAATCAATCAATTTGAAAAAATAATAAATAATGACATGATTGATTTAGTAAAAAGGGATACACACTTACCCTGTTTAAAGTTCAGAATATCCCAAACAGGCAAAACTCAACGACGCAACCAAGAAAGGAACAGAAAAGAGAATGAACGATGTTTAATTTATCAAACACACAAGCAGTATAACACGATTTCTATGTTGCCGGTGTTACGTCGAAGGTTAGCACAGAACACTATCCATTCAACACGAATATATGACAATGATGATTATCTTCTGTTTAGAATGACCTTTTAAAGGTAAGAAATTTCATTTACCTTCAAAGTACCAACATAAATTGAACCTTTACTATGTTACTGGTATTTAGATATATCTATAAATGTGCAGAATGTTTGTGCCAAGATGGGCATCAATCTAGTTCTTGAAACCGTTTCGGATGGATTGTTCCAACCAATAGAAACTGGATCACAATCGATAAGAACCAAAGAGAAATCAGTTAACACACTGATGAAAATCAAAACATGACAGATACATTTTGTTAAAAATAGCATAGGAACATATACTTGTATAATTCCTATTGAGAAAAAATCTTCACTCAATGAGGTAATTGAATATCCACGAAAATATATCATTGGAGTCTGGAAAATATTAAATTCTTCCTTCTATGATGGGGTCTCTGAGTAATAAAACTCATTTTTACCAACCGTAAAGCAATATTTTTTCATTTCAAAAGTATCGAATATTTCAATTTTAAAAATATAAAAGAAGACAATGACATTTCATTTGGAGCACACACATTTTTTTCTATTTCGAATGACGAATACACAGAATGTCATGATCAACAGCATTTACGCCCGAATGATAAACATATTTAATTTCATCGTTCTAGACATTTGCGGATACTACTATATCAAAATGTGTATGGGAATGTCCCAAGCTCACTTAAGTGTGGCAACACTTGGCTTCACAAATGAGTTTCGTTACCAACTGGCCTAGTAGTTCTGGTTGTTGAGGCTGATGAATGGAAAATAAAAATGAGAAGAATATGTTCCTAGTGTTCATTTTTTAGTTTCATTTTACTTGCTGTTTAGAGTTGTTTCTATTGTATTTATTTTACCGTACATACCAATAAGAATTTTTTCCAAGTTGACAACTCTGTGTGTTAGCCATTAACATAATATATCGTTGATATTAATTATTCGATTTTTTAGTCATATTTGATCTTTTCATAACGGCTCGAGCAAACATGATAGTTGAAACTAATGATAAATAAATATATCGTCAACTTAAAAAAAATACATTGTTTCTAATGGATTCCTTATCCGATATCGTTCATTTACGTAGATTTTTTTAAATATTTTCAATTTCAATAGGAGTTTCTATACAACTTGTCAGATCATCAGAAAAAGTTTTTGAATATTAAAAGAAACAAAAATTAAATTTCGACAAGTCGTGGAAATGAATATTGACAAGTCATTGAAGGAATGTAATGAGCGTTTCAATAAAACTTCAATAATATCGTCTGGCTAAGTTGCCAGCGAAAGAAAATAATGCTTTTGAAACTAGAAAAACGTAATCTACTGTAAAATTTATCGATAAAATAATGTTTTGAATTTACTAAGAAACCAAACTTAACCTACGACCTGCAAGTTCAACAAAAGCTAAAGAGATCTACCTATCTATGTCACGTCAATACACATATTACCAGTTAATTTCGATTTAATAAATACAGGAAGAGCCTACGGTGCTCACTTCATAACTTTATGCTATGACTGACTACACTAAGCTGTAATCTATGCTATGATAGATGTTTGTCACTAGATGATTTTTTTATGTCAAGCAGTGACACATTCTGAAAAATGTAATGATTTTGAGATTTATAATCATAACCTAAAGTATTGTTTTTGAAAGAATATAAATTTCAGTTTTGAAATTCGATATATTTATTCTCCACCGATAAAATTATATGACAAGCAGAAACAAAAATACAAGTTTGCATTTTGAATATCTGTAAATAACTTTTTTTCGCATATTTTAGAAGGTATATATGTTATATATAAGTTTTATTTAAAGTCTTTTATGTATATAATTGCTGACGGAACCAATCTGTTTTGTTAGTCCAGAATGGTGACAGTTTCTTTATTGAAAAACCCCGAAATGCGATTTGGATCAATTACATTCTTTGCGAAACAACACAAAGAGGATATGTGTGGTAGCAACGGCTTACCTCTTACACCCAATTCTATTATAATATATGGACGAGCTCAAGTGCTAAAATCAATAAAAAGTCCGTTTTTGTGCCATTATCTAGATATAATTCGCGGAAAACATGGTAAGAACTCGAGAGGATTTAAATTTCGTCAGGGATATATTACTATATATTCAATTTCAGAACGAACCATAGTTGTTTCGCAATATTGTGGTACACCATTGAGCAAACTCATTGAAAAAGGGGATTTTGCATTGAATGACATTAAAAAAATCGCATATCAGCTACTACAAGGCTTGAAGGAGCTGCATGAAAGAAATATTGTACACCGTAATTTAAGTACTGAAAATATTTTGTATCAAGGAGATACAATCAAGTTGTTTAATTACGGGCTTTATCACCTTACAGATAATGGCAAACTTGTGTCGTTTCCTATAATGTAAGTATATTGAAGTTATCAATTTTTTGAGGTTATGTCAGAGTCCTTATATCTATAAAATGTAAACAGTCTAGTATTTATCTGACTCCGTGGCGCAACGGTAGCGCGTCTGACTCCAGATCAGAAGGTTGCGTGTTCAAATCACGTCGGGGTCAAACTTTTTTTTTTTAATTTATTTTCCAGAAAAATTAAGTAAATCAACTGAACGAAAATTCTGTTATGTGGGAACTTTTAATTTCTAAAAAAATTCTTTTTCATAAAAGTTAGTACAGACATGTAAAAATAAAAATCCATTATTCAACTTTTTGGTAATTTTCAGTTTCCGTCATCTGAAAAGAAAATAAAAATTATTATGGCGAGTTTCATTTATAGGTATAGGTTTAGTTTACCCAGATAAGTTACTGAATAAATACAATATATTTTAATAAATTGATTGATTTCATTAGTAACATTACTGCAGTTTCGTCCTATATAGACATTTTCAAACTTATACATTAAACTTTAACCCAAAAGTTTGAAAATGTCCGTCTAGGACGAAACTGCAGTGACATTAGTTGCAAATAAAAGTGGTGAAAAACAGAAAGTTTCAATTATCTTTTCTTCATTACAATATATTTTTCTCAAAGAAAAATTTGCTTTTAATCTGTTACATGTATTTTGTCTATGATAAAAGATCTGAACATTTTATATTTATAGATACTTTTTTTGTGGCCCAAATATGCCTCAGTGAAAGTTGATGATTGTCTTGAAATATTTGATGTAATACAAGGTGTTCTCTGATATTAATATGTTGTAATTGTGTCACATTTAAATTATATTTTCGAGATGATTAACCAATCATGGTATATTTCTAAAATGCTGTTTGAAATAACACTCCTCTTCAGATATAAAAATGTTAGATTTGAGTTTACGCCTCTTAGTATGTGGTTCGTTGATGATCATTCTTGTCTCATTCCATTCCACTCGATGGTCAAACATGAGTTAATATAAATACATTTTACTGTTCACATACGCACTAAATTTTGAAATATTCATCTTTCCCAACTACCTACACCGTAGGTTTTGGTGAATGCCTGCCGGAAAACAACTACTTCCCGGCTAATACCATGCTGGATATTGAATTATATCCGACAGATATTTCTCGTTCATCCAGCAGCAGAACCATGCTAAAATTATTCAAGTAGATCACTTACAGACCTGTGTCGAGGTATTACCACTCATACTACCTCACCTACCTACAGTACGTATGCATCTCTCCTCAATACAGTCTTCAATACAGGTCATCAATAAGAATTGAATCTACATATTTGCATAACAAATTCAACAATGACTTTTTTCAGACAACTATTGTATGCCGCCCCAGAAATCTATATAGATGAAATAGAAGCAAGTTTACCAAACCCGAAAGTGGACATTTGGGCTCTAGGAATAATCCTCACTGAACTTGTTCTGAAAAGATTCTTATGGAGTTCTCTGAAGCTGGACCATAGAATAAGAAAGGTTTTAAGTCTGCTGCAGTCGAGTACATCCATTTTTGAAAGAATTTCAAGAGAACATAACGCCTATGATGAATACGTGGTTTGTTTTTTATTCTTATTTCTGAACAGCATAAACATTTTTGGATAATACAAAACTTATTGAAGCACTTTCGTCTTTCCAATTTAAACTGATTGAAACTATCAGTTGCAAATTCGCAACAACAAAAAAATTTAATAAGTTGATAATAACTTTGTGAAAACTGAGAACTGATAAGTTGTTAGGTATGTAATAATGAATGATTCTGGAATATTACATTACTCATGGTGCTAGATGTCTCATCGTCTGCCAAGAACACGAGGCAAATGGCCATCATTGTCCATGCCAAAGAGTTAAGACAGCTTAATCTATTAATAATATTTCGAAAATAAAGAATACTGATGATATTTATAGGTTCATTGGAATAAACTTGAACAGCTTATTTTTCAAAGAGAAAAATGACTTGCTTTTTTTCATATCGGATAATCTATGTAATGGAATTGGATGATACTTGATAAAAATCCATAATGTATTCAAATAACACTTTATAGTGAGATGTGAATATGTTTTTTGTTGAATGTATGAAATTATGATGCTGGTATGAAAATTCCAACTTATTTTTTGTAGAATTTAGATGAAGACTTGAAAAATTTAATAGAATCATGTCTGAATATATATCCAGAAAAAAGGCCTAGCTGTGAAGAACTACTTCAGCGAGACATTTTCAGTGGTTTCAAAGACTTCACTCCATCTAAAAATAAACAGTTACGCAAACCGTTTGAAATTTTCACAATACACGAATTGTATCACTGGTGGCAATTGGCTGGAGGAGATGTTCTGCAAGAACTAAAAAAACAAGGATTGATTCGATCTAGCCCACCTGTGTTATCGCTGCCACAGTAAGTTTTTATTTCATTTTATGCTTTCACAGTAAACTCTCTTTGCAAAATATTACCCGAATACCTATTGCAACTGGTATTATTCATACATAAGTTCATAAAGTGCTATAGGGCGAAGCGCGCCTTTTGATGCGTTATTCATAGAAACGCGTCGCCGGTCTCCCGACCGGTACCGCCGCAACCGATATGTTCCTCCATTTTAAACTGTAATATCTTCAAAAATATTCTTGTAAATTACATGCTCTAAAGGGACATATTGATCTATATTGAATACACAGTTTATTGAAGGTACTTAATTGGATGAGAATTTGTGCTGTACCTATTGCTTAAAATCGCTTCGTAAATGAGCCATTATTTTTCGAAGATAAAAGTGGTTACTGTGGGTTACCCCTTAGCGATAGACATATACCTTTGCGGACTTTTTTGTAGACCTTTTTAAGGTGTACAATACTGTAATACATTTTTTGATCTATCTTGTAGAGTTCAGCCTACGTTTGCAATGAAAGCGCAAAAATGTGTTCATTCACGACATCACATTAGAAACCTCTAAAATTATCAGTGTTTCTCTACTATATTATGCATATTATATACATATTAACCTTCCTTTTGAATCACTCTTTCTATTAAAAAACTCTCATCAAAATCTGTTGCGTAGTTTTAAAGATCTAAGCATACATAGGGACAGACAGAGGGAGGCAACTTTGTTTTATACTATGTAGTGATTGGTGTGTATGTTAGTTATGAATAGAGACCGTTTTAGAAGTTAAGAATTAGTTTTCTTCATCTCCTGAAGACGTCAACTTGGTTGGTGAAACGCGCGTCAAGAAGAATACTAGTACTATACTAAAACCAATAATGATTGAGAGTAGAAGTAAGCCCAGTTGACAGCAAATCGGGGGCGTGCTTATTAATTTTTTAGAGGGTTAAGAATGAAAGAAAAATTCTTAGTACAATTAGTTAAAATATTCATACACATTTTTTATTTATTTCATTAAAACTTTGCAATATCGTAATTTACCTAATCGTTGTAGTCATTAGGTGGGCCTTATGAAAACGGAGTAATAATCGTGGTAATTATAGTAGGTACCAAATAAATTAACAATATTAATAAAA